TTTTTTAGTTCATGGCTGAATTTTTTTTAAAATCAGCCACTGGAACATTGCGTTATATAGATTTTTTCTCCGTATTTACTCATATTTATTTACGATTAAATACGCAAAGTTTGATAGAGGAACATATTTGTTTGAAGAAGTTGACGAACTCGTTACAACTATCAGTTCAATTAACATTGACTGAATTCAAATAAAAAAAAAGAAGTTCTTCGTTTAAATAATGTTGATAAGTTAAAAAAAGGTTTTTATTTTTTTCTACTTTTTCTTTATCAAGTTTTTTCTTTAGACTATTTCAGCGATAAAAAGTGTGGGTTTAATAAGTCTATTTTTATTCATTTCCATCGGAAAATAGTCTTTTGTTTTTTATTCGGCATTTTAACTTACACATTTGTTACGAAACATTTAGAATGTTATTCAAATAATTAATTGAACGGCAAAAACACGTGTCTTCATTCGCGTAAAAATATTTTGATGAAAAGGAATCACATGTGAATAGTTTTATTTACCAAATTTCATCATAATAAGGTCAACCATTTTGTAGTTTAACCAATATACATTACGTATTCAATCATTCATTGGACCTTTCGTATCTATATTATCACAAAAAGAATTCCAATTTTGAAACTGAGAAAATACCCTAGCCTAATTTTAAGGTGCAATCACTCATCCATACCAACAATAGAGTCACTGTGTATCGCACGATATCACAGATACGAGTACAACACTATACGTATCACGCACATCCCGTATTTTAATACACATCACTATCATAGATCACGTGTCCTTGTCGAGCGGCTGATGCGATAACGACCCTAGTATCAAATTTGTTTTCTATGATTTCGGTACTGCACATCCTAGGCTACGAGTATTATCTAATACTCTATTATAAATAAATAAAAAAGCCTTTAATTCGTGAAAAAGTACATGTGTTAAAGGTATAAAGTTTTTAAAATTTTCAACTTAAATCTATATATCTATGCTAATATTATAAAGAGGGAAAATTTGTTAGTTTGTATGTAGGGGGTAATCTTTGCAACCGCTGGCCGGATTGCGAAAATTCTTTCACTGATAGATAGCTACAATGTTACTATATGCTATAGGTTATAAAACATCACGCTACAATTAAATGGAGCCGAGTAGCGGGTGAAACCGCGAGAGAAGAGCTAGTTTGTTATAAATGTATACGGTATATTTCAAAATTATTATCTTACTAACGTAAGTTAGTGATGTTCTAAATCAGTTCCTCTTTCTTCCTCGGTACAATTCCTCTTCCAAAGGATTACCAAGTGTTTTATTTTGAATTTTCAGGATCCAATCCGATCCAGCCGTCTTAATTAACTCATCCTGGCAGCTCATTAGCAGTCTTCCCCTATTGCCAAAAAAATACTACATAGCTAGCAATTAAATAAATCTATTTACGGCAAATAGTTTTAAATTAACTTAAAAAATACTGAACACGTCTAAATAAAGTCAAAAGTCAAAGTTTGATACGTATGTATGTACATTATTGTACATAGTTAATTATAGTTGGAAATAATACAAATACTAATGTATAAATTAGTCATGTAAGCGCCATTAATAAAAAAAATATCAATCGATTCGGTTTAGAAATACGAATACAATGTGACCTATACGTACCTAGTTGTTTTATTTACTGAGGCAAAAATAATTTTTAAATTTACGAATAAAACTGACAAATTAAGTCTCATAGTCCTTGGACTTGATAAGAAAGTATAATTCGCATTTTTGGACAATCATGATTATATACTTGTTACCTGAATATAAGCGTGTAGCTTCTCAAACAAACAAACAAAAAAAAAAACATATTACATATATTAAAAGGATCCGGAAATAAATGTTTCATCCCTACCCTGCATGTAACTGTGTAGCATAGACTTATATACAAAAAAAATACATGTCTAAATGTTCGTAAATTGCATGTAAGTACATAAATATGGAAATACTATAAGAAATTATTAATAAATAAAAATATTTTGTTCCACATGTCCGAACCCTCAGGCTGTCTTATAATGAAAAGGTAAGAAACCCATTTTGTTATAAAGATTGATGTCACAACCTCCCTCTTTTTCTAAGTCGGTTAAAATGAGGAAAAGCATGTTCCGATGGTCCGGACATGTGGTGTACACGATATGGAGTGACAATTGTAAGAGGAAAATACCCTCCGAGGGATTGAGGGCTTCATAATAGAAGAGGTCAATTATTCCCTGAAAGCAGATTAAGTTTCGTTGTACAGATAATTGGATTGCAATTCTATGTTGCAGGTTTTTTTTTGTGAGGGGAAAATCATCAAATGACTTCTCCCGCCCAGGGCCGGGCGGGAGGGTGTGTCAGACTCTTACTGACTAAAACCCCCCTGTTCCTTCTCCTGCTCTGGGCCGAGGTCGCGGTGCCTCATTGCGCTTACCCCGCAATCCCGGTCTATGTTGCAGGTTGTAAGATCGATTTGCGTAGTAGATTAATAATAATTTTAGTAAATACTAGCAGCTCGCCCCTGCTTCGCACGGGTCTCATCATCTAACTTACGATGAAAGGGTCCCTATTACCCAACTCTCCCCTCTACTTGTCAAAAATTTTCTTTCATAAGAACCTTCTCCTGACTATAACACACATAACAAAAAAAGAATCAGTAGAATTGGTCAAGGCGTTGTTGAGTTATGCGCTTACCAACACATTTTGCGATCCTTTTTGTATATATAAGATTATGTCAATAATTTCTAACGATTCGAACGAATTAAAATTTGTAATACTAATTTTGTTTTCAAACCTACTATGGCCTTGAGTATTTAGATAGTTGTTTTTTAAATAACCATTAAAAACTCACTGATAAACTTTATCGAAAACTAGCTGGTCCGTTTTCTTTGCATTATAAGAATTTCTAAAGAAGCGAATGAGTTAAATGTAACATATGTATAAAAATGTCTTAAATATGTTTCTGGAAGCTACTTGCAATCTTAAGATGAATATGATCAAAATTAAAATCTGTACATGTAATCTATAATTTATCGAGCAATTTTGCATAATTATACTTGTTTGTATATTCAGGGCCTCGAAAACGGCTCTAATGATTTCGATGAAATTTTGTATTTTGTAAAAATCAGTCTTGATAGGTTTCTTTCTCTGAAAGAAATACTGAGCTGAGCTCAGTCTTCGCGGTACTAATTGAATACTAAAAAAATGAAAGTTCCTTTGTTTGGTTGTAAAGAAGCTTCGGCTGTGTGCTATTTCCCAAAGGTTCTGTTAATTATATCGACTATTTCTCCTAATAATAATATGCATGTTTGCCATGAATGTGAGATGTGTGGGAGAGCCAAGCTTCGGCACGAATGGGTTGGCTCAACCTTAATGAGACCACGACTTCACAGAAAACCGGGCCCCAAATTCTACTCCCGCCACCTTCTCCCTAAACCAACGAAACTAATCCCCAAATCCTGCTTCCGTGGTTGCCTGTTGTCCATGGCGCCGAATGCTTACCTTCACGGAATGGGTCTGCTTGTTTGCCGACCTATCATATATATAAAAAATGGTTCACTAGGAATAGGCCAGCTCTACTGCAATTATAATGCACGTCGTGTGCAACAACTCCAGCGTTCGTTGTGACTGGCAACGCATTAGCGAACTCTTCAGCTGATCCGCCTTCTCGTATGCCGCCTTATTCCATAAAAAAAAACTATAATAAAATAAATAAAAAATATTTTTAATGGAATAAGACATACTTATCTAATATTAATTAATGAAATATGGAACAATCAAATTATCGATCCATTGTATACAATAAAAATTAGAAGTTACACACTACATTTTAGTGATTAATTTTTATTAAAATATTTAGATTTATTTTAGTACCTACTTAGTTAATACTTGAAAAAATCTTAGCTAGTCACTAAAAGCTTCTATTGTTAGGCAAATTAATTTTATGTGCATTTTTTTAAAACGTTCCAACATTTACATTAAGTCTAAGAAACATTCCAGATAATACATACATAGATAACCGTCACGAGGTTTATTTTTTGTCAATAATTTCCCCTTGAGCATAACACGAAAAAAGTTGTAAAGACGTCAAAACGACGTCAATTTGTCGAAACAGAATATACATACATTTTTTTTCAATTTAAATAATATTATTAACGAAATTTTGCTAAAATTGGTCATACGCAGGACACACAATGACTCTGACGTACGTTTCTATTTGTTAATATTTTACCGTAAAATTGTACAAAACTGCAATACTTATTTATTTTTTTAATGAGCGGGAAAATTGTATTTAATTTTAAGAGAGGACATGAAATTGGTAATTTAATTTCATTCATTTATGTAGACTCTTTATAAGTGTCAGATGTCTATGGTTCAATGATCAATGACAATGTAAATGTCAACATTAGTTAAGTCAGTGTCACTAAAACAGTAATGCAAATTTTAAATAATTAATTATAATAATGAGCTTCTTACGTGTTAATTAAACATTATCGCATTTCAATAGAACCCATGCAAAGGTAATATTTAATTACATAATACAAATGTTATGCAAATAATTTGAAATCCTGTTGAGCTACACTGGTTTGTCAATATCTCAATAGTATTCGGCACGCATAATAATTACAAATTCTTTGAATATCCAAGTATTTAGTACCCAAAACTAATATAAAACATTACACGTCCAATCGTGTGCACGCAATGTCAACAGCCTGCAGACGTAGCCCAGCGGCTAGAAGGATAAAGTAGACAATGTACTATCGGCTGCGTCGGCTATTCGCAGGCCACGCAGTGCGAGTGTGTGCGGTATGTGATCAAGAAAAATGTACGAATGCGGCAGTGAGGCGTCGCGTTTGCAGAATCGGCTGCATCACGAGGGCCCCGAGGGGCGCCGCTCTAGCCGTCTTTTTTCATTTTGCGTGCGTCTTTTTTTGGCAGCGCGTTAACCTTGGATTTTTTTCATAGCGAAGCGCTGCACGTACGCGCGCAAGTTTCGGATAGTCGTAGAGCGTCCCCCCACTCAGCGCGCGTCCGAATTTTCTGCATTCGGCCGGCGTGAAGAGTTTTCGGCGGTCGCATTCGCGAGCGAGGCTCCCCACGGCTAGGAGCGAAGCGCGCACCGACATACACGGGCTACGGACGGAGCGGCGCGAGCGCAAACGCGCCATGCAATATGCGGAAGTGATCGCGACCACGACCGAACGGTGCTAAACTAAACGAGTGTAACTCAAGTGTAGTGAACGCACATTCAGTGATACAAACTATGGTATTTGTGCATAGCTCGATAGAGATCTAATGGTTTTCTAATAACGAAACAAGGACTGTGGACTTTGCGACATGGAATCAAGGAAAGTATTGTTTTACTAATGTATGAGTTAGGATATGGACCAACCGGCTCTGTTAGCCGGGACTGATGGGTGTGACCCGACCAGGAAGTCGCAACGGGGTTATAGAAAATATACTGCTCCCGTAGCTTCATTTGGGAGTCAAGCAGATTTCAGAATAGGTATCAAGATACAGAGTCATTGATAAATACGTGTTGACACCCGCGGCATATGATAAATGTTAATCGCGCGAGGGTGTACAGCAGTTTGCACCTTAAGTTGTTCTTGCATGAGAACGTTTTTGCGCAGTTTCGATACGTCTCTGAATTTTGCATACACGTGCTGCCGTCTCGGGGCTATTGAACTTGATAATGAGACAACCGTATCTTCCACTTTTTGTTCGTCGTTATTGCATCACTAATTCTTCTGCGAGATCTCCTCCGACCGGTTCCCTAGCATTTTCTCTATCCGAGGCCGGAGGTGCGTTATCTAAGATGATTCACGTAGTGCGTTAGGCGGCACATCATCCCAGCTAACCAGCCCGTAGTTCGCAACTAGAAACATGATTCTTAACGAGCCCGTCAAAAAGCCAGTTCTACTACATAAGTTTGAGATTAATAATTAATGGGTGCGTATAAATCGCGCTCAAAAGTCGGCCCGGAACCGCCGTGAGGCGAAAACTGGTCGCGCAACGCATTAACATTTGCATAGAAACTGTCAAAGTGGCCTCGTGCGGCCGCCGTCCATGTACGAGCTATTAGCACCTAGACACCGGCCGCGGCCGCGGTCAGCGTCAACCGATCGGCTTGTGTTTCGTTTGCGCTTCTGCAGATGTCTGTCTTCACGTCATAGATCTCGCCGCCACAATAATAAACCATATGCCCTTTGGTATATAGCCGCATTTCCCAAAACACCGCTCTAGCAGAGGCGTATGATTTGAATTGTCGGTTAGGGCCTCTCGATTCTACTTGTATAATGTCGTTGCATTGATAAAACAACACGAATTTCGGTTATCTAATTATCTAAGACTTTCATCTTCGTTAGTATTTCTGGTGACGTTTGCAGAGTCAGTCGTAGTGTAAACATAACATCTTAAGAGTTCATTTTCCCATAAAATTTCGGATGATATCGTTTATTATTTTCTTGGATGATGACCTTACATAATGTGACAACAACCAATGTTTATTATCATACATTGATTTTAATAAATTTTAATTAGAAGAATTAATGATAATATATTTGAGTTCAAATCGTAGCATGACAACATAATTATTTATTCGGAATGTAATGAGTACACAAAGATCACAGACAGATGCGAAAACATTTGACTATTTGTTCCTTAAATAATGCCGTAACAGCTGAATCGAATCGGATGATGATTTGCCATGGCTTTTATTAAAGCTCGAATCAAAACGAATGATTTGTTTCTGAAGTCGGAAACTGAATGTTTTAAACATTTTTTGCTCGGTAATTAAAATATCTTCATCAGTTGATTCGTTTGTTGTACATATTTATGTTTGTAATCCTAGTTTTTTTTTCTTTTCCTTTATTTGTGTGCGAGTCTCGTCTAGTGCCATTCATGTAGTGACTGCCTAAACACGTATTTCCTGCTTCTTGCCGAGAGATTTTTTTTGGACCTCAAATCTTGTTTGTCATCATTCTTTTATCTTAATTTATTGTTATAGCTCTAGGACAAAGTTCATTGGTGGAGATTTTCGGTTTTCCTATGCGTTACTTAATTTAGTTTTTATTAGTTTATTTCAGATTTTAGGTCTTATTTATGGCTACACAGTGTGCTGCTAAATCAGTTGTGATGAGAATTGGAACAGATTAAAAAGTGATTTAAAGTATATGCTGATATGACAATATTTTCATAGTTAAGGTAGGCAAAAATACAAAAGAATGTTAAAAAAATACTAACTTTATTTGTTTTTGTCGAATGTACGGTTCAGTGACCTGCAGTTATACAATTAGACCTGGACTAGCCTACGCCATTATATTTTCCACACGCTACCGCTGCAAGTAGGTCAAAACAGTGTGGATTTATGGCCTTAATACATTTTATTCTTTGTTTTTTTTCTAAAATAGATGAGATTGTTTAATCTGCGTAATATATTTATATAAAAAAAATAAAAAGCTACATACACACACTTGCAGTGTGAGTAACTGATTTAAATAATTACCAACATTAAATTAAATGATAAAATTATGAAGTGTGTATGTGTGTACATTAGTTTAACGTAAGTCGGTAGGCAGAAGTTAGCAACATAATAGTAGGTATATTATGCTTAAATATGTTCGTGAAGGTCGCACAAATTTTACATTTACCGCGTCACAAATAGAGACATGGAATAGGAAACTGTTTGAGGCTAGCGGCCTATTCTCAACACAATGATATTCTTCGATGATTAAAGGCTTTTAGACTTTTTAATGTTGACTCCATACTGAGACTTTGTATTGACAATATTATCTAGTTCATATATAAAATGACCGTTAGAATTACCTATAGGTATCTACATAATTTTATAAGGATTTTAGAATTAAACCACTTATTTTTTATGTTTCTTGAGTAAGAAGACCTAGACTTTGCCATACACAACACTATAGAACGTTCTTTATTAATCAATTATTGCCAAAAATGTTGACCAGTGTCGCTGCTATAATTTTTTCAAACAATTTTCGAAACTTTTATTGTTCATTTTTGTGTCGGTATGACAGTATTTGTAGGACGTTGCATTGAAAGAATTATTTGTTTTATGGAATTAAACGATAGTGCAATTCAGTACCTATATATAGTTAATATTACGATGAGTATCAATTATATGACAGACGATTCAAAATGATAATATAGGCGATTGAATTAAATTAAATTACCTTCTATCTCCTAAATAATATTACAATTATCGTAAAATTTGGGCCAACTGATAATATTGATTTTGAATGTTATTCAAACGTTCTTGATCCACGAAAAATATTTTTTATTAAAATTAAAAAAAATTGATGACATAAATTTGTATTTAGAACACCTTTATTGGTGACGATAATGGCTTAAAATAGGCAATAATCTATTTTCCATTTGCAAAATACCTATTCCTATTATCAGTATACCATATTATTACATTATATTAAGGCGTTAAAAAAATCTTAGCTGCTATCTAAGGGATATCATTAGGTACTAATAGAAATCTCATTGGTATCAATAAAATCTATGAGGCTAGTCCATAAAAAAATAATGTGTCTAATTTTTACGTTCATAATTTTGAACATTCAATGGAAACATGAAACATGAAAGAATAAGGAGATATCAAATAATTATTATGAAATTAAATAACAGTACTACGCATTGCTTAGAAACAAATTTGTACACACGACACGTGGTATCTTTGCAACGAAAGATAACCTCGAGCACAACGCACAATGATAAGAGTGATTAGCTACAACCGAGTTACTTTGACAGTGCGTCGGAATTCAATATCAGTTGTTAGATACTGACGTGGAATTTTGAGACACGTATACTTATTTATATTTAACGATATATAATATTAGCTAATCTCGCGCGGTTTCATTCTCAGCTCCTATAGATCGTAGCGTGATGTTTAATAGCCCATGACGCTCAGAAACATTGTAGCTATCTATTAGTGAAAGAACTTTGGCAATCCGACCAGCGGTTCCAAAGATTACTCCCTACATTCAAACTTACAAATTTATTTAATATTAGTATAGATTAGCTAATTTCTCGCGGTTTCATTCTCAACTCCTTTAGAACGTAGTGTAATGTTTTACAGCCCATAATGCTCAGAACATAATACCAGCGGTTTCAAAGATTACCCCCTACCTACATACAAATTTTCAAAGACCTCTTTATAGTACATCTAGATAAATAATACATACGATTTAACCCCTTCCATGCGTTTTCACACACTATTATCTCCTGTAGGTCGAAACATGAGGCTCATTTCCTATGTTTATCCTGTCCACCCATCATCCATGAATAGAATATCGAATACAAAAAAAAAATGGTTCTTATCGAACCAGTAGTTTCTGAGATAAGGCCGTCCAAACAAACTCTTTAGCTCTATTTTTTCAATTCGTCTAACTAATAGTATCGCTCTTAGAGTGTGTTATGGAGGTTAGCGGCAATGGCAGTCGCTCTATGTAAAATCTAATATCAAAACTTATTGAGAAAAAGCTGAGAAGATGTTCAATTCCATGAGTCTTGACACGTTGACGGCGCGTTGCGTTCCACTCTCGTCGCTTCTCAAAGAGCCATCATCATCATCAGTGAGATACCCCAGACTACTACTTACGCTTTTCGATTTTTATTTTTTTACGTCATATTATTGTTAAAACCGCACCTTTTGGTTATTGGTTAATTTATAGTGCAGTATCAAGTACTGTTTTCTTTGTTACATCATTAGTGTACGTCATGTAGAGTTCCTATTTAGTTTTCGCTCATTAGAATCGTTTGATTACCTGTATCTATTGGCAAAGAGTTCTGTTATCATGAAATTGGATTGGCTATTCTTTCTGTTTGATTGAAATAGTTAATGACGTAATAAAAATGTTTGGTATATATGATACAGGATGATAAACAATACGAGTATAATGATTGATGACGATATGTTTTTTGAAGTTAAAAATGATTGCCTATCAATATTTCTTCAACAAAATCCACAGTAAAATCCTGAAACCATCCGGTAATTTGATGACTAAAACATAACTGACATTTTGGAAGGCACAAGACATATTATCATTTGATACGATGGAATATTTAAACGCCTATTACGCATCCACTGATTTTCTAATAATGTACCAAATATTATTTTCATTTCCGAACGGCCTTGTCTAGGTTAGGTCCCTGAGGGGTGGGAAGGGTGTGCGGGAGGACCAAGGACACACTTCGAGGTCCTTTGGGGCGCGACGCTTACGTAACTTAGCAACCAAGGCCGTTGCGTTAGTGCGCGTGCAATATGTACCTACTATGTACTAGGATCTATGTGATCTGTCCATGTGTGGGAAGCTTG